TATCATATCATGTATAATATTATTAAATAATAAATCTTATAAAAATATATTTATTATTATTTAAAGCATTTATTTTGTTTATGATGCATTTAAAATTCATTTTCACCTGTGATTAAGATATCAGTCAATAAAGTTTTCACAATTACTTATATCATTTAAATTCAACATTTGGTCTTTTACAAGATTAGAGGACGTTTGGAACGATCTGTTCAAGAAATAAATTCCCAGTAGCCTTGCTGGTTGTTGTGTATTTAATTCCTTGAGATAAACTGTAACGAGTTGCAGTAAGATGCAGTACACAAGAAGAATAAGATAACTCGAGACTGAACATGATTTGTCCACGCTTAGCCGCTTAGTCATAATCAGACCAAACTATCTGGCTTTCATTGTGCATTTTCAGAAGAGTAGTCATTAACTAGGAAAAATTTGTGATACCTGACGAAGAAGCCATGGTGCATCTATCAGCAATGATCCAGTACGTCCGTTGTCCACTGAATCGACGATCAAAGATGAGGGGTTGCCAAACTTATGGTGATTGCTCGTTTTTCGTAAATAACTCTACCGCGATGAATTTGACGAGGGTTTTGCAGGAAAATATGCATTCTCGTTTGAATAGTTACGGCTTTAATGTTGTTTGACTTTCCCGGTTCCATCAAACGGTTCAACTGGGTGTTTTATGCTTAATTCCTCCTTCAAGATTTGCCCTGTATTGATAAAGGGTCCAGTAATAGAATTTTATGGCCTGCTTCGTCCTTGCTCACTCGTTACAACGTTAAAGCGTTTCTTAAAGCTGTAGCACGTTCCTGGTTAACTCGAAGGAGTAAAAATATAAAGTAGTTTGTAAAAGACGGTGCTATGATGCAATTGAGGATGGATTGTTTTCAGTCAGCTTTCTGCCCTTGATCCAGACTAGCATTTAAAATCATGCCACGGGAAGCTTGCGAGGTTCCAATAAGCAGCGTTTTTTGGTCAAAAAAATTCAGGAGATTCCATTGAAACAGAAAGTGTTATCGTGATTTCGATATTTCAGAGTTGATTTGAAAATCACATGCTGCTTATTCAGATCGTTTCGACCACAATAGCCGATATTCGGAATACTTGTAGGACTTGCAAGAAAAGAAAGTCTCAACTACACGTCATTGTTGCAGCGGCACTCATTCAGCAGATACAGTTGAAAGGCAAAACCCGTCAGTGTGACTGATGGGTGGGCAAATCGTCAACAACCATAGTGGAAATATGGCTTTTTTAAGACGCCAAATTTTGTACATTATTTAGATTGCTATGTAGCAAGTCAGTATTTTAAAGGTCCAGTTGTCAGTCAGTGCAGAGACTGCGACAGGTGTACATTGGAAAAACCAACCGGAAATTAAATATCCGCATCAAATAACACGTTTCTCCGATCAGCCTTGGACATGCTGACAGTTCCAATATTGCCTAGCATGCGATTACTAAATGGCATTCTTTTAAACAGTCATGAATTTGATATGCAAAATCGAATCACTGTAACACAGATTCGTTTGCATTTTTAATGCGAACTTTACATTGTGTTTGTTAGTTAATATTCTGGTGAAGCAGTTTAACAGCACTGTGAGTGCCAAAATTAACCCGATGTTCCGGGAAAACTAACAGCGTTTTGTTGTAAAGTATGGGCCAGTTGAAAAACAGTACTATTGTTCGCTTGTTGGATAGATGTACCTTCAAGCAGCCATTTATGCTCGGCTCATTATTGATAATGATATGGTCTATGTAGTAAAATGCATTGGTAGCGAAGGTTTTACTATCTACTGTGTTTGGTGCCGTGAACCATGAATCGTTGGACTACCTATCTGTCAGTTTGTGAAACTTCTATATGATTTGGAAAAATTAATTACTGCTGAAATGTTAACTATTGGGAGGTTACAAATAGTAATAAAGGTAAAAGTAGCGAAACGTCGTACCTATCTATAAAAATCATGCTTATCGTTAGGTTGTCCTCGCAAGTGTGGAAAAATTTGTAACCATTATATTTACGTTAGTTTCCCTTGCTGCAGCAGCTAATTTCAGATGATGTCAGGTACAGTCAGGAGGTTTCCACTGTGTGCGGATCTGTCCAGGATGTACCGAAGTGTGTTCATAAGGGTTTTTTTCGATTGTATTACAAAGCCGTTCAGTATTTGCCCTCCGCGGCTCTTAATTAGAGTACTTTGCTGTACTCATTTTCTTTTCCATAGATAATTTGCCATTGTATGAAATGCACTGAATCACTTTTTGCATAAAATCCTTGTTTGCAAACACCGGTTTTGAATCGACTACACCTAAGCTACTTGGTTGTTACATCTCTTAAGTATTGCAGTTATTCTGTTATAGTGTGATATTGATCAGCCGGTATTCAGTTACCGCAGAGGTTGTGCCGGTCACACCGTTTCCTACATTGATGTCTCGTTTCGTCCTTCCTGTGCTAAAAGGGTCCATGTATAATACAAGGATTAAATTATCCCATGCTGGACAGCTACTAGCAGATCAATCACGATCCTGCTACTATCACTGGACGGTAGCTGCTACCGGTTGATAGCCAATCAGTCGAGTTGCTTCTACAGCCTGTAGTCGCATTTTGCTTTCCCAACTTTCCACGATGATGTCATTCACTTC